CAACTGCCTGGGGCCTTGGGCTTGGAAGTTGGTAGATGGTAGCTTTCTCCAAGCTGCGGGAGGGTCCTGGCCCTCCACGACTTGTTTAATGACTCTAGTATGCCTCCTCATCCACGCTGCCCTCCCCGTGCAATCATGAGGTAAATGTAACACCATCGAGGCCCGGCAGTGTCACCTGTGTCTTAATGGCACGTCGAAGTTCCAAGTTCTGAGGTCGTTCATCAGTCACATCTTCTTCAACTCACTCAGCGGGTATCGTTACGGGCGTCTGTGGGCCGAAGATCCGTCTGTATTATTCGGATGTCCCTGTGGGAGGCGGATGAATGCCCTCCCCTGGAAGTGAAAAGCGCCACTAGTTTTCTCAGCTTCCTGGATGGGTGTTCGGGTGTAGCTGGTGGCCCGGCGTGCTCTTGCATTTGCTATGTTGAGTTGGCCCAATATCTCCAGATATGGTGGGTGGGATCCGAAGGTTTGAGCACACTCCAGCCCATGTCTTCTCGTTTTTTACTCGAGAAAGAGACGCGCGGGGCATGCTGCACAATGGCTCTCAGTAGTATTTCCTGTTTCGCTGCCGTAGGGGACGGCCTGTATAGCTTCCTAAACAGAGTTGATGCGTGGGCTGCTCACCGCACCCTCGTCGTTGTAGAACCCACCAGGCCGCGTTGTGAGTGCGTCCTGCGGTCTTATTTTGGAATTGCGCACTCTGCTGCCTGAGGGAACAGGGAGTAGCTCCTGTTCAGCTGTATCAGCATCTTCAGATAGAAGAGTATGTGGACCACCAGTCAGGAAGGATAATCCTAGAACACCTTCCAGTTGGCCCTCTTTACGCCCTTTCTAGGAGCAGCACAACTGGGGGAGGCCTGTTTGATTTGAATGGAGGTGAGCACTGCAAAATGTCACTGACAAGGTGAGATGAGTTTCCCAAGTGGCTCCTGCTGCGAAGGTGTCTTGACCCGAAGGTACGGTCGAGGCAGCCCACCCAACAGGGTGTGGGGTCTCCATTGTGTTTAGCCAACTTTACCTCTGGAATAGCGTGAGGAGCATTGCATGTGTCGGCCAGCAGCATTGGTTGTTGCTGAGTGAGAGTGCAGCATTGGGTGATGTGCTTGAAAATCTCCACCCCACATACTACACTCAGTGGGCTAGTGCGAGGAGCTCTGCAATGTCAAGGGTGTGTCTTGGGTTCTTGTAGATGTTATGAGAGGGAAGGGCGCCCCAGGTATGTGCACAAGATGGGCCCTTACCCCGACATCCTCCCACAGGCCACAGGTTGCGATATCCTCGGAGGTAGTGTATTGGTACAAATACAGCGTGTGCCTCTGCAGTGAACGCCCGGGTCCGTGTGCCGAAAATACCCAGCAAAACCGGGGAGTCTTGGGCACTAGCGGGACAGTCACAGTTTCATGGAGCAAGATGATATCATCCCGATCCCGATTTAACTGCTCCAGCAAGAGGGCGGTTTGCCCCTCAGGCCCTGAAGGTTCCCACTGTAGGATCGTGAGTGTGAGTTGGTACCGAGGTTATCCAATCGATGTTGTTTCCTGAGCTGAGACTGAGTCCCGTGCCCGCTCTGAGAACCTGCAAATTCATGGCATCCACTGTCGCCTCTTCGGTCAAAAGCACAACTCCTCAGGAGCGTACTGACCATCTGCCGGAATGCGCTCTGTTGTTCCGTGAGGTAGATTGTGTTGCAAAATAAGAGCTGTGAACCACCTTGAATGAGTGCTACGAGATCCTCCTTGTGAGGGGCCTGCTTGGGAGTTGGGATTCGAAAGAGTGGAAGTCACTGGGTTTGTGGGGGCGGGAAGGGACGGTGAGGGTTGGATTTCTTTATTGTATGCACCGTGGTCTGTGCTGTATACAGGTTTGGGTAGCCGGGATCTGCTGTGAGGGTGCCCGTTGAGCTGCAAAATGCCGGTGCCGGGATGGAGGGCCTGCGTTGTCGTGCGATTGGCCGGTGGGGCTCGGTTTAGTGCCGCCCCTGCTGATCGCATTGACCAATGCACCCTGTTGACGCCTCCTGTTCCGCTTGTTTCTGTGTTCGTCGTGGAGGTAGGGTTGCAGGAGGTTTCTTGACCTTGACGCCTGGTTGAGGCTTCTAGGGTTAGGAATGCCTGGTATTGACTTGGGTAGCTGCGGAGAGATCGGCGGTTGGCAAGGTTCTCTCACCCATCGGTGCTGAGGTGATGATTCCGTTGTAGCCTGTTGCCAATTTTGGCGTCTTCCAGACATTTCTTGAATTCTGGCTGGCGAGCCTCTCGGGGCATCGAGATTCCAGCATGTGTTTCTGCCTGCAGTTCGGGCATTGGGGAGTGGATGGCAATGCACGTTTCAGCTTGGTATGCAGTTCCCGGTAGGGGGTGCGGCTGCTGACTCCGCAGATTTACGCCGTGTGACAGAGTGCACCCAGGGTCCATAACGCGACACTTGGAATCAGCGAACTGGTTCGGCTGTGAAAGTCCTGACATCGTACCTGCCCAAGAACCGAGGTCCAGCGGGATGGCAGTGGTCCCTACTGCTGAAAAGGACCTGTGTTGGTGCATTGCCTCGTCTTTGCCTTGAGACGTTGAGCTTGACACCTCACGGGGGGTGAGCTGCTACTTGGCCCTCGATGGGCAGCTTCAGCGGGTAAATCGCATCACTACAAATTCCCTTGGTGACTTCTGCGTAGTCCAGTGTCCTCCAGGGTTGGTGACGATCCGTCTCATGACTCTCTTCAAGGTGGATACAGTTCCTTGTTGAAGGAGTCCAATATGGGTTGCCCCCGCAAGTGAAACCATTTCGTAACTTCAGGTTGTGTCGTGATTCCAGGTAAAAAACAACCCCAGAGTGGGTGTTGCCGGCTCCTTGGACGGATTGGCGCTTTCTTCTTGTTGTCCACAGTGGTCCAGCCCTCGTGTTTCGGGGGGTGGGGTGTTATTCCGCACCTGTTTCTTAATTGGTCGCTGCTCCATGGTTGGGACTGTAAGATCTCTAACAATTGAGCAGGAATCTTCCTCTTCCTCTCGCAACTTCCTTCGCGAGAATACGCCCCACATTTCAAATCTGAGTCCTCCGTCGTGTTCTTTGGACATCGGGGACCGCGGTGCGTTTCGGCAGAAGCCATGTGCCGATCTTGGATAAGTAGTGAACGCCGGGAACTGAGTGTTGGTGTCAATGGAAGTCGTAAGTACGATTGTCGCACGAGTTCCCGATATGTTTTGTCGCACTTGGATGGTGGACATGTACTAGTGTCTGTGTATAAGGTTATGTGTTCATGTGTTTTTGGGTTGTTTTTGCGCCCCAAGATGGGTGGGAGTTCGGGGAGATAGTGAATTTGAGGGATGCTATAAAAAGGGGGGTGGTAGGTGGTGATGCTAAACTTAGTCTCTGGTGATGTTGACGGGTTTTGGGAGGATTCAGTGGTGATTGGTAGTAATCAGTAGGGTTTTGGAGAATTCGAGGGTTTGATTGGTGTGTGTTTGTGTGAAGGGTGTGGTCAAATGATGTGCAGAGTATTTTTTTTGAAAATGTGCAGTGGTGTTGTGGGGTTGGCCGAGAGTTGGTTCAAAGTAGTCAGTATTAGTTATGGTAAATGTCTCATGTCATAAGTGGATGATGAGTTAGGTTTTTTTTTTTGTGCTAATGATGTAAAGTCTGAGAAATGAGGGAGAGTTTGGTGATGCGATGGAATTTCGGTAAATGAAATGGTGTGAATGAGAATGGTAAATTGGTGGGTTGAGATTAGAGAAGACAAAATGATATGGGATCTAGTAAAAGTATAGATATTGTAGGATCTTTGTATGATGATGTTTTTAATTTATGAGATTTGTACAAAAATGTGTGGTCTTAGTGTGGGGTTATAGAATGTGGTAAACGTCCTTGATTGTGTGGTGATCTAGAGATTGGAGAGATTATACAGTTGAAACAAGTGAACTTCCGCTCGTAAGTTAAATGAAGTAATAGTGGGGCGTGACGTCGCAGATCGCCAAGTAAACAAAGATAGTGTGATGTCATGGAGGGGATCCCTCTCTTGGCGGGTATGTGTTGGTGGTCGTGAGGAGGGGAGTAGAGATTGTATGGAGGGGTGAGTGTGATATTTTTGGTGAATGTTGATAAAAAATGAGTGGTCATTGATGAAGTTGATGGATGCCTTAGTTTTTTTTTGTTTTTTTTGTGTGTGGTGTTTGTGTGTGTGTGGGTGTGTGGTGTCAATGGCCAGATTAAGAAGTCTCCGGGCCCTAGGCCCTATTCAGATTGGCGGGGCCCCTTTGCGTTACGGGTTAGCAAACGCACCCCTTTCCAGCTTGGGTGGGGGGGAGTCGCGTGAGCCTGTGTAAGGGTCTAATTAAAATACATTCGGGCTATTTAGATTAAATTTAATAGGGAAATACCAAGACAACCAAAACCATTACCACAGCCATTATAACTATCGTATTAAATCATCATTTTAAAGAGAATGAAACTCAAACAAGCAGAGTCATACTAGATTAGGCCTATGAATGTAGTGACAAATCATGTACCTATATATGCAGCAGAACCACTACAGCACGAGTATTCCCTTATAAATCACGGACACATTATGTTATCAATTGCTAATGCATAAAGACTATCAAATCATAGAAACCAAGAAAGTAAGAATTGTTTAAGTCACAGGCACTTCTTAAATAAACTTGTGTCTGATTTCATATTGGCAAAATCAGCAATTAAATTCTGCAAATCAATATTTCTTGTTAGACCAGACCAATGGTCAACAAGCTAGTTGACTCAATTTGTAATGGCTAGTGGTGACGTGTAACTTAGCTCTGTGAAGACCTGTTTTGGTTGCTGGGGTCTCTGAAACTGAACTAGGAATGCCCCGCCGTCCTGAGCAACTTTAACCAGCACTGAGAGAAGAGCTCCAGAGGTTGCTAAGCGGGAGATACGGCGATTAAACGAGGAGAAACAAGAGAATTCGAAGTAATCCTCCTGTTGTTGAGTCCCCAGGTAAGAGGTGAGCTTGGTCAGTGGCCGGGCAAAACATGGAACCAGCTGAAGATCACGAAAACGGTTGGAGAGGCAGCAACAAACGAGAAACGGAAGACTACCGTGGAACTTCCAACCCATTCTTCGGTGCTCCTGACGATGTGAGTGTTTCTACTGGGAACTGCCACAACGAGCACAAGGAAGCAGGGCAGACGTGAGTGAACATCCCTAGAAACCTCATCGACAGACCATCGACAACGTCTTGACGAATCCTACAAGTGGTAGTAAGGCTACCCTGTAACGAATGTGAGCGACTACCTGGAAGCATCACGAAAGAGATTCAACGGGAGGTAAAACATGTTTGTTGTTGGGGATAGCCAGATTAGGTATATGGATAGGGCATACTTGCTTGAAGGATAATAGAGCAGAGAGGTGTTTTCCTGGGGCGGATGAAGGATATGGTTAGCTGTCTGGATGACTCAGGAGAGATAATGGAGCAATCCTAATATCTGTCGCAGTGCTGAGGCAACGAGGTGGGCAGACTAGGAGCGAGGACCTGAGTAGAAGGAATAGGCAGCAATAGAGAGAATTAGGAGAAGGTGGGAAACCTGTGCTTATGTGGGCCAGGTTGCCAAGGAGAGGAAGTTGTGAAATGAAATGGTTGTCCAGAGGCAATTGGTGTCAATGCTTGGCTGACAAATACGTAAGGATAATGTGGTAAACATTCATTGACAACTGGACCTCTTCAATGGCAGAAAGGACATGTATGCCAGGATGGGGTTCTCTTATTCGAGGTCTGGGGTGGGAGCACTGGCCAGCGCAGTGAGGAGGAGCTGTTAGTCTTTAAACTAGGAATTAGTTTTAGTGGTATAGGTTTGTGGTGGAAAGCAGTGAAGTCACAGTGTAGTAATATGAAGTAACAGGAGAACTAGTAACAGGCAAATGAGGGGATATTGGAAAGCCAGTGGCACTAATTGACAAGACAGTAATAGGTTTAGTAGAATAACAGGAAAGGAGCAGGAAGGAAAAAGAAGAGGAGGGTCTTAAATAAGATTACACACTAGTCCCGCAGTGCTAGGAAAAAGAGGACGAGTTGAGACAAGTTGCTAGTGCATGTAACATTGAAGTAGTTGCATAAACTGAGACGGTGGGTTTAATTCAAAAGTCGGTCATGCCTCAGAATGTCCATCAAGGTTTAAATATTTTCACGTAGATAGAAGTGTTTGGTAAGGGAGTGGGGTGGCATTGTATGTCCGAGATCGCTTGAACTGTTGCTTAAAAACGGGTATTAAGTCTGAAGTAACACATAGAAGTCTGGATTAGAGTTTGTCGAGGGGCAGGGAAAATTAATTTAGGTGTGATATACCAGCCCTCCCCCAAACTTAGATAGGGACCTGGGAAACGTCTATGGGAGGAAATTGTTAGGGCCACACGGCCCGATAATGTAGTAATTCTAGGAGACTTAACTTTAGTCATATTGATTGAATTTCTTGACCTGGAATTTAGAAACATACGACGTTCTTAGAAGTAGTTCAGAGTGTTTTTAAGCAGTTTTGTTACAGAACCTACAAGGGGTAATAACCACTTGACCTAGTTCTGGGCAAACAAAGAAGCGCTTGTTAATAATTTAGAAGTGTTAGAAGAACTGGGTGCTAGCGTCCACAAATCAATTACATTTAGCATTGAATGGAAAGTCTGATAGTAGGGATAACTCATAACAGTCCCAGATTTTCGCTTAAGCAATTAACGATGGCTTAGAGAACACGTATCAGCTGTTGACGGGGGTAACGAAGAGACGATCAATATGACAGTTTTTCTGAACACTATACATGAGCTCAAGAATCTATCCGTATAAAGAAATTAGATCCAAAATAGAAAGACCAAAATGGATGAAAATAGCGGATATATCTACTTAGGCATAAGAAAGGAATTTATAGGAGTATCAAAAGAGGTGAGGGTCTCTTATGACTCAGTATATTGACATTAAGAGGAAATTAAAAAGGGGATAAGAAAACTAAAAGGGACATGAAATTAAAGTTGCTAGGGAGTCTAAAACTAACCCAAAAAGTTTCCAATCTATAGAATAAAAAGTCAGAGATAATATAGGTCTGCCTAAAAATACTACGGCATCTTACTGACAGAGAGAATGAAATGTGTCTCCGATTCTTAAAATCATTAATTTTCTCTCGTTTTACACCGAAGACACTAACAATATTCCAGTAATTAATTTTGATAGTGGGCCAAAAGAAGATAAATTACGTAACATCCACCGTCCACTAGGAAGTGGTTTGTGAAGCAGATAGACCGACTGTAGCAAAAATACGTCCACCAGTCCGATGAGGATTGTTTCAAGGGTTCTTAAGGAAGCAAAATGGAACTCGTGAACCATTAACTAAGATTTTATTTATCTCTTCCAACAGGTGTAGTGTCTGATATGGTGGAAAGTTGGCTAAGGTAATTCCCTACTTTTAAAACAGGGGACAAGTCGTTACCGTCAAATTCCGCCCTATAAGCCCGACCTCAATTTAGGCAAACTACTAGAAGTCAATTATAGCTGAGATTATAAGAACATCTCGATAAGCATGCTTGATTAATGATACTCAGCATGGATTCACAAGAGGCCGTCTGTCTAACTAATTTATTAACTTCTTCCGTAAAGGCTTTGAGGCTGTTGACCACGAAAAAGAATTTGATAGTATTTACTTAGATGTTAGTACGGCTTTTGATTAGAGTTTCCGCACCAAAGACGGTTAAAGACAGTGGCAGCTCATGGCAATTGGGGAAAAGTGCCTCGTGGATCCGAGTCATGGCTCACAGACAGAAGCAGAGAGTGTCCATAAATGGTTAAAGCTGATGGGGATCTGTAACAAGTGGCGTTACCACAGGGATTCATGTCTTAGGCCGTTGTTGTTTTATAATATATATCAATGAGTTGATGAGGGGAATTACAGTGATATAAGCAAATTGCGCACAATGCACAAAGAAAGAAGATAATTGATTTCAAAAGTAGATGTTTAGGGAACTTCAGAGGTTTTATACAAACTCTATTCGTGGGTCAGAAAAGTGGCAGATGCAGTCAATGTAAGATAATGCAAGGTTCTGAAGCTCGGGAGTGTCCATAACCCTAGGCAACTTATAAGGACATGTGTAGAACTGTACCATACAGATGCGAAAAGGACGTGGGGGTTATGGTAAGCAGCACCTTAGTCCCAGACATCAGTGCCTAAGTGTAACGTAATAAGGCATAAGATTACTGGGGATTTATATCAAGAAGTGTAGCAACAGAAGTCCAGAGGGTCATACTCCTGCTTTATATATCATTAGAAGGCCATCACCTAGATTATGCAGCTCAATCTTCTCGCTCCAGAGTACATAATTGGTCATAAATTATCCGTGAGAAAACAGTCAGCGCGGACGACGAAATTATTACAGAGCAATGAGAAATCTCCAGAACGAAAGAAAGATTGAAGACACTTGAGTTACATTCACATGTTAGACGAAGAATGAGGGAAGACTTGATTCGAAGTGTATAAGTGGAAGCAAGTATTTATTAAAGGGGATATTAATAAGGTTTTGAGGATATCTCGCCAAGAGAGAACCCGCAGTAATGTATTAAATAGATAAGTGTAGATTTGAAACGACACTAAGAATGTATTGGCTGGGAAATAGGGTGGTTGATGATGAACAGTCCTAGTTGGGTTATTGAGCTAGGACCTTGGTAGTTCAAATTTAGGTTGGGCAAATGTGTTGTAGTGGGATGATGGTAAAGGACCTGCCAGTATGGGCCCCAACAGGCCTCCCTGCAGTGTTCCTCCTTTCTTATGTTTTCTTATGTTCCTTATGTTCATTGTTTGAACGGAGCTGGTTTTTTGTCACTCTTCAAAACAGATAATGAACGGTTCTCCTTCACAGTAGTAGCTGGAAGTGTTTAGGTAAAGGGATACACTAGTCAACATTAGGGAAGGTTTTCTGAGATACTGCATTTCTTAAATGTTTCAAAGCAGCTGAGGGGCGCCACATTTGTCAGTGGAGCTTATCTGATTCATAACCCAGAAAAATAACTATTTCTCAACAAATGTTCCTGAACAGCTGCTGAAAGGGTTGTTGCAACTGTTAAATGCAGCTTTCTCCCTCAATTCTGCTCTGGCATAGGAGTAATTTGGAACATAAATCCAAACTTGTCATTGTGATCGGGTAGATTTCTTTTCTTTTCACCAATGCTGTAATCAGTGATCCAGAATGACGAAGTACGTAGCTGTCTGACTTTCTGCCTTGTAGCAACACATTCATTGTCTGGCTCTTCAAAATTGCGGTCCTCATCCTTGACCGCGGATGATCACCCGGTAACTGTAGTCTTTCACCAGCAGTTTAGCTTTCTCTCAAACATTTCAAAGCTTCATCCATTGCGAAGTGGCGTCCTACAAATTCCACTAAGCCTGCATAGAGGTTAGCACAAGTAGCCATTTCAATTTAAATTTCTGAAGTGTCTTGTTCGTGGCATTTAACCGTTCCAGTATACAGTCCCAGAGCACACAGAGTAAGGCCAATTCAAAATCTTCCAATTTTGATGCTAAGCTGGCTGCTTCGCTTCTTGTAGTTGCTGTCTGGTCTTCATCCTCTGCTATTTGGATCAAAGCAGAACGTATTTCAGCAAAGCTGTCTTTCAAAGCATGTGTTGCATCATGCTGCGCTAACCATACTCATCCATTAGCGGGAAAACACAGCTGTTCTGAAGTAAACAAAGGCGTGTTGAGTGTTGCCATCCATGGTTAGGTTTATTTATTTTTATTTTATTTCATTTCATTATTTATTTTTGTTTTGATTAATTTTTAAAAATCAATTTTACTCTCCAAACACTTGAACTTTTTAGGTAGGGACCCCTTTGCACTTGCACCATGTGTGCAGTCTTGGATGAGCCCCTGAACCCCTTGGACCGCGGGGCCCCCAAATGCGCAGGGCCCTAGGCAAATGCCTAGTTTGCCTATGCGGTAATCCGGCCCTGTGTGTGTGTGCATGTTATGTTTTCAGTTGGTGGTGATCCTGTTGTAAGTGTTTTGGTGATGTGTGGAAATGTCCAAAGGTGTTTTTTGTGAGTATTCAAAATGATTTATGAGTATTTTTTTTTTTTTTTTGGGCTCATGTTATATAATAGTCTGAGGTGAGTGGGATCGTCTTGGTTATAGTGATTTGAGGGGATTTTTATAAAATGGGAGT